ACTCACTATTATTTCTAAGAATCCATGCTCGTTAGGTGTTTGTTCTATTATTTTCACTGTTTTGAGTTACCATAATATTTCCTGCTGTGTACATTTGCGCCGGTCCCTGGTTTTATTTTTGCAATTATAAACAATATTGCCTTGAATATTCTTGTTAAGTATGTCCTGATGCAAGTATTGGAGAAGTCTCACTAGGGTCTTTTTTTTTTTTTTTTAAGATTTTATTTATTTTGAGAGTAAGGGAGCCCCGTGTGAGCGAGGGAGGTTGCAGAGGGAGGGAGAGAATCTCAAGCAGACTCCATGCTGAGCGCGGAGCCCCATGCAGGGAGGAACTCAGTCTCACAACTGTGAGATCCTGACCTGAGCCAAAATCAAGAGTCAGATGCTTAACTGACTGAGCCACCTATGCCCCCTCTCTGGGGTCTTTGACATAGATATGGAATTGCTGGAGCACAAAGGGTGTGTAAATTCAAATTATTTTCCCAGGTGGTCACATCAGTCTTCACTCCCAGCAGCGATGTATCAGAGCTCCTATTCTACATGTTCAAGACTTCTTAACTTAGGACAATGGGGTAGTTTTAAATTGTTTCTCATTGTGATCCTAATTTTTACTTCCAGACCACCAATGAAATTGAGCATCTTTCATCTGTTTACTGGCCATTTGAGTTTTCTCTTTTGCAAAACCCCTGCTTGTTTCTTTTGCCCCAGTTTCTATCGGGTTGTCTTTTTCTTCTCGAGTAGTAGGGATTCTTTTTATATTCTAGATGTTGTTACTATGTGTGGCTAATATCTTCACCCAGTTTGTGTCTTGTCTTTTCTCTTTACGGTGTGTTTTGTTGAACAAACTGTTCATTTTAAGGAAGTCACACTTATCTATCTTTCCTTTTATGAAAGGTTTGCCTTTCACATTTCTTTTTTTTTTTTTAAGATTTTATTTATTTGACAGAGAGAGACACAGCAAGAGAGGGAACACAAGCAGGGGGAGTGGGAGAGGGAGAAGCAGGCTTCCCGCCGAGCAGGGAGCCCGACGTGGGGCTCGATCCCAGGACCCTGGGATCATGACCTGAGCCGAAGGCAGACGCTTAACGACTGAGCCACCCAGGAGCCCCTCACATTTATTTCTTTAATCAACATTTTGTTGGGTACTTGAGGGGGACCCTCTGAGTTTTCTCTCTGTAGATCACTCCCATTCAATATTCTGTCCTGCAAACTCTAGCCACTTTGGTCTCCCCAAACTCATCTTCTCAGCTTAGAGTCCTCTGGGCTCCAAATGGTTCCCTTCAGTATCATCTGGAAACTCTCAAGGCAATAAGCTGGGGTAAATCGTAAGCTTCACCTCATTTGTTTCCCATCTTCCAGAGATTCCTCCTTTGTTGCTTCATGCCCAGCATCTTGAAAACTGTTGTTTCATATATTCTCTCCGTTTCTTTTTTATTGCTTCAGCTGAGAGGCTAGGTCTGGTCTCTACTATTCCATCATGGCCAAAAGCAAAAGTCTTTCCACAACCTGTTCATTTATTTTAAGGTATTTTATATTTTTTGTTGCTACTGTTTAAAAATTATGTTTTATAACTGTTGCTGGCATATACAAATGTAATTTCTTTTTGTTAATGTTATGTCCAATTATCTGGCTATACTCCCTTATTCTAATAATTTATTTGTAGATTCTTTTGGGTTTTCTGTGTAGAAATTATTTACAAATAATGGCAATTTTGTTTCTTCCTTTCTAATTATTATACTATGACTACACTAGCTAGATCTGCTGATGAAGTGTTGACTAGAAGCAGTGATTGTAGGTATCCTTATTCCTGATTTTAAAGGGACTATCACCATTAAGAATGATGTTCACTATAGGTTTTTGGTAGATATCCTTTCTCAGGTTTAAAAATTTCCTTTTCCTCTTGGTTTGCTTAGTACTTTTATCTTAAAATGGTATTAGCGTTTTATCAAATGATTCTGTATCTATTGAGAACACAATTTTTTTCCTCCTTTAATCTGTTAATGTGGTAAGTTTCATTCGACAGATTTTTCTCATGTGAGACAAACTTGGCATTCTTAGAATAAACCCAGTGTGTTCATGATGTGCTTATTTTTTAGACATTGCCAGACTCAGTTTACTAATATTTTGTTTTGGATTCTTGCTTCCATGTTCTGTGTTCAAGATTAGCCTGTAAATTTCCTCTCCTTTCACTTTGCTTGTCTGGTTTTGGTATCAAATGTATTCTGGCCTGATATAAATGAGTTGCAGGGTGTGCCCTTATTCTGTTCCCTAGAAAGGTTTTCAGAAGCTATGAAATGATCCTTGATGAAAGTTTGATAGCACTTGGTAATATCATTTCGATCTCGTGTTTTCTTTGTGGGAATACTTTAAAATATTTATTTCATTCCTTGAATGCTTATGAGATCATTTAGGATTTCTGTTGTTTACAGTCACACACATATACACTCAGTTCTGTTATAATGCTTGTTTTGAAAACACAAATTTGCTCCAACACAGTTACTATATTAAGGAACAATTAGAGTATAACGTGACTTTCCTTGCTGATGCACCAGTTTTGTCCTGAAGAAACAGTAGGTGAACACAGAAGTCTGTACCCAGCTGAGCGGAGTCCTATAGGAGCACATGAATGGACATACGGACACATCTCCGACACCCCGCAGGCAGCTCTGTCAGTGGCCATGTGGTTAGGAGACACTCCCGGCCATATCTGGGGCTACAGTTTTCTGTCCAACTTCTACCATTTGCTAATAACCTATAAGCTGCAACCCTTTCCTCCCGTTGCTTAATCCACACTCGCTGTGCGTGGGGGGGGCATGGTAGAGTGAGCGGGGGAGAGAAAAAACTAAGAAGACACCAAGTTTTTGGTTTTGGTGACCTGATAGATGCGGACATAATTTACTGAAAATGCAGGAGGCAGAGGGCGCCTGGGGGGTGCAGTTGGTTGAGCGACTGCCTTCGGCTCAGGTCATGAGCCTGGAGTCCCGGGATCGAGTCCCGCATCGGGCTCCCTGCTCAGCGGGGAGCCTGCTTCTCCCTTTGACTCAACCCCCCTCTCATGTGCTCTCTTTCTCTCTCTCATTCTCTCTCTCAAATAAATAAATAAAATCTTTAAAAAAAAATAAAATGCAGGAGGCAGAACAAATGTGGGGAGGTATTGAGTTCCACTTTACACAGAGGCTGTTTTACTGCCTGAAGAACACTCAGATGGGCTTCTGAAGTTCAGCAGAGAGTTCAGGGTTAGAAAGAGAGGTGTAGGGCGCCTGGGTGGCTCAGTTGGTTGAGTGTCCGACTCTTGATTTCGGCTCAGGTTGTGATCTCAGGGTTGTGGGTTCGAGCCCTCGTCAGACTCTGCACTGGGCTAGGCGTGGAGCCTGCTTAGGATGCTTTCACTCTCTCTCTCGCTCTCTCTTTCTCTCTCAAAGGAAGGAAGGAACAAAAGGTAGCAGAGAGGGAAGGGGCAAGGGAGATGCCTGCTCTTTGTCAGTGATGGGCCCAGGGGCGGGCCCTGGCGGCAAGGAGACATCCTCTTTCTCTGAAACCGGAGGTCTGGCTCTAGAGGGTGGTGTCGGAAGAGGGTCGGGGACACGGCGGGAGGCTCCATGGGCAAATGTGAGTCGAAGGACCCAGAGTAGAAATAATGGGTGGAATTGGCAATAATAATTCCCAAATAGTGGGGATCATACCGTGGGATCGGAGCATAGGGTCAGAGGAGGGGATGCTGGCATTTGGTTTCAGAGGAGGAACGGTCCTGGTGGCACCAAAGTCTGTACATCAGCTGTTGCTCCAATAAATGTGTTCAATACCAGCTACCTCCACAGGCTTTGGAGTCAGGCCTACTTAGGTTCAAGGCCATTGCTGCCGCCAGTCGACCTTAGGCAAGTTACTTAATCTCTGCCAGCCTCATCTGAAAATGAGAATAATAGTACCTGCTTCATAGGGCTGCTGTGAGGGAGAAATGGAATAATACATTTTGGGCAGCCCCTTATCACCTCCTGTCTCTGAGATCTAACCCCTCTAACCCAGAGGTGGCCCCCTGCAGCTGTATTTAGATAGTATAGTTTGGCTCCTTGAGACTGCACTCCTGGGAGTAACATAAAGTTTGGCACAAGCTTCTGATCCTACCTGCACTGCCCATGTTTCCAAAGCACAGCATGGCAACATGGTAGAAACCTTATGTTGCCTCCTGTCTTAGCAGGTACTGTGTCCCCACAGCCAGTGATTTTCCATTGCCGAGAAACCGTTGTGCGTGTGCGTGTGTGCCATGCCCAGCCAGGGGTGAGCAGAGCTTCCTGTCAGCCCGTTCCTAAGTCAGATGGGCAATGAAGAGAAGTGGACCCAGCTCTTTCCCTGATGCCCTATGACCTCAAGGATCAGATACCCATGTCAGTGGCACAAGGGCGGAGAGTTCAGGCATCATACAGACCAGGTCACACCATGCACTCTCACTCTGAGGTCAGGTTCCTTTTTGGGCTACGGTGTTCATGGAGGAAGCAAGATGTTTCATGCTTCGAGGGGTATATCCTGCCTGAGTGTGAGTCTGAGCTCTGGCAGTCTTACGTGCGAGTCTGGAACTAAGAGGCAGCCAAAGGTCTAATGAGGAAGTGGAAGGGGGCCTAAGCCCTGGGTGGGGGCTCCGGAAAACTGACCCCCATGGAGGGGACAGAGGCAGGGCAAGTCTGCACCTCCTGGTCACCTCTTTAGGTGTCTTGGCTTCTCTGGTAGTTGATGGGGCATCGGGACTCTCATGGGTTCCCCAACCCCTCTGTAGCCCACTGCAGCCTGCTGCCCTGGGCTACTCTAGAGTCTCCACTTCTTATCTCTTCCAAAGGAAAGAAGGAACCCACCTCCCACATGGCCATCTCTGGTCTGAGGAAATGCAGGGTCAGGGGTGTGTGGCTGAGGAGACGTAGCCAGGGGCAGTGACATCAGGCACCCTCCCCCCTCCCTTCTTGGGTGGTGGCTACCCAGGAGGTGGGATGAGAGGGGTGGCCACAGTTGTGTTTTACAGACTCAATAGAAGATAAAGCCTTTAATATATATATATATATACATATATATTTTTAAAATAAACCTCAGTGGATCTTTCTTCCCCAAAGATACAGCCTTTAGAAAACTGTGGTCCCTGTGCCTTTGTAAGATACAATTTCAGAAAAGTATTTCCACAAAAAAAACTTTTGTTCCTAAAAATGATTGATGTTTGGTAGCTCAATATCAGTCTGTGTCTGATTCCAGAAACTGTTGCCGGCTTATCCGAACAAGCCTAAAGCCTTGAGAAATGCCTCTCATGTCCAGCTCAGTCTCCTCCCCACCTGCTGTCCCCATTTGCTCCCTCTGGGGTCTGTTGGTCTCAGTGCCTCTATCTGTGTCTCTCCTGATGTCATCCCTAACATGTCCGTCTGTCCCCACTCTGCCCATTCGTGTGGTGTCTGTCAGCCTCTCAGATGTCCACTGGAGCATCGGGAAGAACAGGAGGTCTGTGCGTCTGTCCTGTCGGGTGAGCAAGTTGTGGGGCTTCCTTTTCCCAGGAATAGTTGCTCTTGGGATGCTTTCCAGGTCAAGGTTACCTGGAGCTGGGTGGTCCGGGGCACAGGCCTATCTGACCTGGTCTGTGCTCAACAAGCAAGAAGTGGCAGGCGAGGGTCCTGGAGCCCGGGCCAATCCCTTCAGGAGGTGTGCCTGAAGACTCCATATCCCAGGGGAAGAGACAGGTCACGTGTAACCTTCGAAGTCGGTGCGCTAAGGGACTGAGAAGAAAGAGGGACTCCGAGCCCTGAAGACGCTGGCTCCTGCTGTTCCAGCCCACACAAGGTCAGCCCTCAAGCGAGGCTGTAGCTGGTCCTCCTGTAAAAGGGAAAGAAACCAAAGAGACAGATGAGGGCGGAGGGGGACTGTGTCGGAACACGGACCCCTATGGACGTGACAGTGGCGCTCCCCGCCTCCCTAGCAGCTCCTCCCTCCCCCACCCCTAGAATAAAGCTACAGCCCCTGTTTTTCCGACAAGTCCATCCAGCAATTCCCTATCTGCGTGTCACTCCGAGTGTGCGTGTGGCCTCAGTGTTCCTGGGCCAGAGTTTGAGCCATCCACACCGAGAACGAGGGGCCGATGACAGTGGCACTTCCTGCCAATCCCGTGTGTTCCTCTGTGTGGATGTGCGCTGGTATTGGTGGCCTCCAAACAGGCGGCCATGTGCTTGTGACAGCTGCCAGCCCAGACGTCCTGACACTGCGGCACCAGCGTGGCCTTGGCCTCTGTGCTGGGCTGGGCACGCAGAAACGAATAAAACCCAGCCCCGGCTCCAAGATCCCCACAGTCCACTGGGCAAGCCAGCCGGCGGGCCTCTCAGCCCTGGGGAGCAGGACCAGTGCCCTGGAAGCCAGGAGAACAAGGTTCAGGGCGCAGCTCGGCACAGTCTGTGGGGGAAAGAGTAGAAGACCCAGCTTTCGGCTCCCAGGCGGGAGGATGGCGCCATCACAGGAGGAGGAGGCCCATGGGGAAAGAAGATGAGTTCAGTAGTTCAGGGCTCTTTGAAAGTGACTCCATGCTTGTGGGACATCGGGTGGAGACGTGTCAATGAGAGCCAGACACGTGGATCCGGAACTTGAAGGGAGTCCGGGGGTAGGGGCAGCTTTAGGAGTCACGAGGCACAGGAGGGGCTCGAGATCAAGCAAGTGGGCGAGGCGCCTGGCTTTATGGAGAGCAAAGAGAGCAGGGCCAAGGGGGGAGCCCTTCCATACTACAGCCAACGGATAATCGAGAGGGGGGAGACTGAGGAGGGACGTGCAGAGCAGCTGAAGAAAATCCAGGAGGGGGCGCCTGGGTGGCTCAGTCAGTGAAGCATCTGCCTTCTGCTCAGGTCATGATCCCAGGGTCCTGGGATCGAGCCCCGCATCGGGCTCCCCGCTCAGCACGGAGTCTGCGTCTCCCTCTCCCACTCCCCCTGCTTGTGCGTGCTCTCGCTCTCTCTCTGACAAATAAATAAATAAAATCTTTTAAAAAAGAACGAAAATCCAGGAGCACCCAGGTGGCTCAGTTGGTTTTGGCTCAGGTCGTGATCTCAGGGTCATAAGATCAAGCCCCGTGTTGGGTTCCGTGCTCTGCGGGGAGTCTGCTTCTCTTCCTCTCCCTCTGCTCCCCGCCCCCACAACTCAGGCTCTCACTCACTCTCTCTCAAAAATAACTAAATAAATCTTTTAAAAAAAGGAAAAAACCCAGGAACATATGGCATCACCGAAGAGTGATGAATCTGCGGGAAGAGTCTGCAGAGGCAGGAGCGTTCGACTGTGTAAATGCCTCAGGGACAACTGTGGACCCGTTAGTCAGTCTCACACCGGGGCACGTTTGTGCGTCGCTGGGTGTTGGTACCCTGCTGTGTGTACCCATGTGCATGGGGTGCCTACCTCTGAAGACTCTGCCGGCGGGAAGGGTCCTGGCTGGGCACCTTTGGAGTGGGGCCAACCATGAGGATGCACAGACCAGTGAGGATCATGCAGGTGGGCACGACCCCGATGAGGACCTTGAGGGTCACCACCACTGGCTCCGCCTGCTTGCAGGCTCCTGCCTCATAGCCCGCAAACCTGGAGAAAGAGCATCCCACGCACCCAGCTGAGATCCCAGCGGGCCTGGCAGGAGGGGTCCCCGATACCCCACCCCCACATTGCCCTGAATGTAGGCGTCATCTCCTGGCCAGATCAGCTTAACCATAGTGGAAGAGAGAGTTGAGGGAATGGGCTGGCCAGGGAGCTCTGACAGAACTGAGAATGTGGGGACCTGGGGCTTCAGGAGGGTCACAGCCCCCAAGAAAGTCCCCTCTCTGTCATGGGTGCGGAGAAAGCCAGGGCAGGTGTTGCCCTACACTCTCTGAAGAGCAGACGAGCGGGTGGCCCCTGGCCACTAGGGTGGAGGACCCTGCCTTCTTCCCACCCTACTCGTTCGTTGCTCGTTCCTCTAGAGCAGCCCAACCCTGGGACTCACTCCAGACTGAGAGTGGAGATGCCCAGGGCGCCTGCGCCAGAAAGCTTGGTGAAGAAGACATAGGATGAATAGAAGATGGTCTCTAGGCCTGGGCCATGCTGGTGCTGCTGCTGGAAGGCATCCACCACATCTGGAAGCATGGACCTGCGGGAGAGGGCTGCAGAATTACCCCTTTAATCCCCTTGATAGCCATCAGCCCGAGAGCTCTCTGGGGACAGAGAGCAAGTCAGAGTCATCCTTGGGTTCCTGCTGCCCAGGACCAGGACTGGCCCACAGAGAGCCCGGCGATAGCCCCTTCCCCCAACACAGCTGCCCACCATTCCTGCCATCTGGTGCCCTTCCAGGAGTGCTCCAAGGACGGAGCTGTTGGCCTCCATCTCCTGCAGGTGGGACAGCCCGTCCCCAGCACAGGCTGGGCACAAGGGGCCTGGGGCAACAGGTGGATGTGAAAGAGGGCACACCCACTAGGAAGGACGTGAAGCTCCACATCCCTTTCCCCTCACCCAGCCTACCAGGGTAGCAGCAAGGACACAGCAATGCTCACGCCAGATACAAAGGCCACCACATATGCCACAGGTGCAGTGGGCACAGCAGCCAACAGGATTGCAAAAGGCACCATCATCTGGGGAGACAGATGTGCCAGCTGATCCTTCCACCTGCCCCTGACTTGCTCGTTCATCCCCACACTCACCGGTCTTTACTTATAACCCCTGCGCCTGGTCCTTTGCTAGGGCCTGAAGACACAAGCAAGTACAGATCAGTCCTGCCAGCCCTCAGGAGGCTCCGGCTCCAAGGCCACCTCCCTGACCCTGCCACCTTCCCTGTAGCCTCCCCCCAGGCCTTGCTTCTTGCCTCACTCACACAGATCCCGAAGGCTGAAGTCTTCTTCCCAAATCGTTGTAGGACCCACTCCCACAGCGGGGTGCTCAGCACAGCCGAGACCTATGAACAGACAGAATCATCCCAGCCCGGACTGTGTTGCCAATGCCTTAACCCACCCAGGTTCCAGAAGCCCTGGCTTTTACGTGGGATGCTCGACCTTGACTTTGCACCCTGGTTGGAACCAGTGGCTATGAACTTCATGACCCCAGCCTCGATCCCACCCTTTGCTGGAGTGCAGGTGACTAAGATCACAGAGGAGTCCAGAATGTTGACCGGAATTCTGGCTACACATGTCTTGTCAAGAACCACACAGGTCCCCAACTCAGGTCGCTGAGGGAGCTTGTCTCCGCCACCCCAGGACCACTCACCAGGATGGTTAGCACCACGCTCTGGACGTGATCATGGAGCCGGGACGCATGTGTACAGAACAGGACCAGGTAGCTTTGCTCCACCTGAGGAGGCCAACAGGAAGTGGGCATGTATCGGGAATGGCAGGAACTCAGAAGTCAAGGGCAAGGCCTAGGTTGCACTCCTGGCCTCTTCTTTGGGACCTCAAACACCAGTTGCTGCCATCATCATGCATCATGCATCATGCAGTCCCCTCCCCCACAAAGGACACTCAGCCCCGAAACAGGTATAACTACTATTCTTAGTCCATCCTCTCCCTTTCCCAGCTAGTGGACCTTACTACCCAGATTTTGTCAGCTGCTTGGTGTCTAGGCCTTGACCCTTCCTGGTCCCACAAGCTCTATCTGGGTCTCTCTCCTCCCTGCACCAGACTCTCTGGAACCCGTGCCAGCCACCATTTCTCTATACTTAAGCCTAACTCTGGTTGGTGGAGCTGAGAGGCGGAACCTGAACTACACAGGGTCAGTATGGCCAGAGCCAAGGCCTAGAGGTACCTGAATGGCTGCTGAGATGAACAGGAAGGAGATCCCCAGCTTTAGGTAGGGCGGGTGCCGGACAGCGAGGCCCAGCCCAGCCAGGAAGCTCAGGCTTTGGCCTGAGGCTGGGGCAGAGGAGTCTGCAACACGGGAAAGTAACACTCGGGCTTGGCAGAGTTCAAAACCAAAACCCAGGCCCAAGAGGAATCCTGTCCCAGCTCCGGCTTCCCACACTCTGACTGCACCCCCTTACCTGGTCTCTCCTTCACCCCGAGGCAGAGCAAACCAGTGCACACGGGGTAGGTCAGAGCAAGCACGGCGGCTGCAGTGGAGTAGAGACGAGTCTGTGGGACAGGACAGAACTGGGGTGGGGGTGATGTCTCCAGCCTACGGAAGTGGGGGCACCCAGGGCAAGAGCACTTCCCGAAAGGGCAGAGGGACCCTCAGCCCAAGTCCAGGGATGCTGGGTGCCTCTCCTCCCAACCAGCAGAGCAGGAGATGGAGATCTCTGGGCCCAGAACGGCCCTTCTGCTGCCCCTGTGCCTCCTGCATGAAGAGGAGGGCATCCATGCCACCAGAGGTCAGAGCCCCTCCTCTCTCTCTTTCTCATTTTTTTAAGGCAAACATTCATTGGTGGCACTTCTGCATGCTAGACCCTGAGGTTACAGGGATGAATATGTGACTCCTGTCCATCCCTAATGAGGGGCTTCAGGTGTGGAAGACAGACTCACGAGCAGACAGCTACAGCACAGTGGAGGGCACGAGAACCCAGATAAAGAGCGAAAAGAGAAATGGTGCTACCTGTTGTCCAGGGGAAGATATCTGAGTAATAAAATCCATGTAGGGGCACCTGGGTGGCTCAGTTGGTTAAGCGACTGCCTTCGGCTCAGGTCATGATCCCAGGGTCCTGGGATCGAGCCCCGCATCGGGCTCCCTGCTCGGCGGGATGCCTGCTTTTCCCTCTCCCACTCCCCCTGCTTGTGTTCCCTCTCTCTGTCTCTCTCTCTCTGTCAATTAAATAAATAAAATCTTTATAAAAAAAAAATCCATGTAAAGACATGCATGGGAGTAACAGTCACCTGCCCAGGCTGAGGCTGTCTCTGGGGAGGGAAAGGAAGAAGGAGGTGGACAGGGCCTCCCGTGGGTGGGCTCCGCACAGTTGCACAGGACCCCACATTCAGGAGGGAGCTGTGGTAGGCCTTAAGGCTCTGCTCTCACTGTCTTGAAACGCTTGATCATTTTAACTCTGAATCTGTGTTTTGTAAGTGAAGCCAATGGGACGACACAGCAGGAGCTACCTGAGGCTTTGTGCCTTGGCCCACACGAGGCTCCACCTCTAGGGGTGGAGTTCTCAGCCTCCTGCTGCCCATTCCTTTGCACTCCAGGCCAGGCCAACCCAAGACCACTGTCACCCCCAGCTAGAGAGTGACCTTTGGGGATAGGGCCTGTGGAGACCTGAGTGGGGACCTAGGCGTACGTGGGAGAGTCCATCTGGGAGGGGCAAGGCCACAACTTTCTGGCCCTAGCCCGGCAGCCATGATGGGTCTGAGGGCACCTGGGTGGGGCCGCTCATGCACCTCGACCCAAGCAATCCCTTGGTTAGGGCAGTGGGCCATGGGAAGGAGAGACTGGCTTCCCTGCTCTCTCTAGAGCCCGGCGTTTTCATTTCGCACCGTACATGGGCAGAATGTGTCTGCAGATGTATTAGTAGCTGGCCTTGCAGATGGGTCTGCGGATGGATACACAGTACTTCACTGTGTGGGTGCTGGGCCATGATGTGGTATTAGTCTCACATCATCGATTCTCAAACGCTGGGGGGGGAGCAGAATCCCCTGGAGGGCTTGTTCAAATATAGACCGCTGGCCCCCTCCCCAAATTTGTAAAGCACCAGTTATGGGTGGGGCCCAAGAGTTGGCCTTGCTAAGTTTCCGGGTGATGCGGCTCTGCTGCAGCTGTTGCCCAGGGAGCACACTTTGAGAACCACAGCTGTATATTTTATAAATCTGAATTATTTTTTAAATGAGCAAAGAAGAATGATGCAGAGAACACTGAGGAGAGGCCCCGCGCCGGAGCTGCAGGGGGACAGCCTGGGTTGGGTCCTGAAGGTGAGCGCCAGCCATGTTGGAACTCGTTTACAGAGTCACCCCGCCTGGCTGGAGGCTGGGGTACCGTGTGGGAGGCTGATGCGGTGCTGGGGTGACCGGGAGATGTTGGGGATGCAAGGTCCAGAAGATCTGGGGCCCAACACGGGCATCGGCTTTGGTAATGGGTTGGAGTGGGGGTAATGGCTGGAGAGGGAGGAGTAAGTGTTGGCTCCTGGGGTTCTGGCAGACAGTGCTACCGTTTGCTTAAGGGGAAAATAGCTGAACTGGACGGGTAACATAGATGCACGTGCCTTAGCTGCTGAAGAGAGAGGTGGTTTGCCGGGAGAGGAAGGGGGACTGCTTCCAGGTTTCCCTCGTGCGTGCACACCGGGGGTGAGGCTGGGGAGCAGGGCCCCTATTCAGGGCGGGGTGCGACGGGCCACGGAGGGGGGCGTTACCCAGCGCGCCGCAGGGACGCCACACCCTCTCCCCTGCCCCTGCCTCTGCCCGTGGCCCTTCCCCACCCCTCTCCCCGCCTGCAGCTCTGCGATCTGTTGCTTCCCGCTGAGAAGGCGCCCGGGCGGAGAAGCGGGGTCGGCCGGACGGAGGACGCGGGGCGGGGAGCGGGTGGAGAGGCTGATGCCGGCTGGAGGAGCGGGAGGGAGAAGGCGAGCGACGCCTCCCCGCGGGGGCACTCACCGCGTCGGGGGAGACGGCGAGCGGCCCGGCGAGCGCCGCGTCCTCGCACCTGTGCGGCCTGTGGGCGCCCGCCACGATGAGCCCGTGGACGGCGGCCCCCATCAGCGTCCCCGCCATCTCCATGGTCATCCCTGCGACAGAGCGGCGCCGGGTGACGGGCGCTGGCCGGCCCAGGGGCCGCGGCGTCCCCGCCCGACCGCACGCCCGCACTCACGGTACGCCGTGGCCGAGTCCCGCTCCCTCGGGCAGGGGGTCAGGAGCATGGTGAGCGCCGCGTAGGGCACCTGGAAGAACTGCGGACGCCCGGGCGCCGGGCTCAGGCTGGCCCCCCTCGGCCCCCAGTCCCAGCCCCGCCGCCCCAGGCTGGCCGGTCCCGGCTGATGCCCCCAAGGCCAGAGGGGTGAGCAGGGGGCGGGCAGTGGGTCCCTCGGGGCCACCTACCGTCTCCCCTCCGCACACACTTTACAGTGGCCACTGGCCGGCAATGGGGTTCCAGGAGTCCAAGCCCCGGCCCGGGGGTAGGGGTGGGGGTGGGAGCACCGGCTTACCGTGGCCAGGGCCTGGAACAGGCAGTAGAAGCTCGTGTACCAGAGGCCCCGCAGGCTGGTGAAGGGGGGCAGGAACCACAGGAGGAAGTAGGCCACGGTGATGAAGGGCGTGCAGCCCAGCACCCTGTGGAAGCAGAGCGGGCGTGGAGGACCAGGAGGGGGGACACGAAGGGCAAACCTGAAACAACCACACCCTTCTGGGCCTAAGTCCTCTGCCCCCAGCAGGAGCCCTAGGCTGGGGCTGCCAGGGTGCTCACCGTGGAGGAGGAGAGGGAGGGGTGGCTGATGGATGCCGCCGGCAGCCTGGGGTGGGGGGCCACTCGCTGCAGAGCTCGGCGGCACCTGGGGATTGGCGTTGCCATTCCCTGTATCCAGGGCCCTGGAGCATCAGCGAGTCCTATTTCCTTTGTGAGGACTTCCAAGACCTCCAGCCCACCCTGGCCACACACAGACCCCTGGATCTAGGCCTGGGAGCCTGGGAGGCTCTGTGCAGCCCTGTGCCTCCTGGTGACGGAGAGCCCCCAGGAATGTCTCTGAACTCCTGCATGGCTCAGCCTGACCTGGTCCCGCGACATCACCTGTTACTGTCTTGTCCTCTCCCTGTCCCCAGGGGTTTCCACTAAGAAGCAGGACTGTGACAAACACAGTGGCCGCAGGCCAGGGTTGGAAGGACCGTGGGGCTGCTCACCAGGGCATGAGGTGTCCAGCCCCTGTCCTCCTGCTTCTGCTGATGAAGTACCCAGCCACAGGGTCGGCAGCTGCCCCAGACACCTTCCCTCCAAACAGGACAAGTGACACCTGGGCAGCAGAGACCTGAAAAGCACAGGTGGAGGATGGTTGAGGCCTGGCGGAGTCAGAGAGGGTGTCTGGGCCTGCCCACCTGCCAGCGGAAAGCGCTGGGAACCTGGCAGGGGGCAGAGCCGCTGTGTAAAGGTCTATGGGGTCTCTTTCCCAGGACACAAATCCAGAAGGCTCTGGGACACACCTGAGCTAGGGAAGAGAGGGGCAGGGGAGGGGCTGACAGCCACAGGCTGGCATGTTCCCGTTACCATTCCTGCCCAGTCGCTTTTGGAGAAGGCTCGGGGACCCTCATCTGTGCAAGAAGGGGGACAGAGGTAGACTTTTCGTTTCACAATGACAATGTTTTATTCATTTTTCTGATTACATAAATGACACACTCATTATAAAAACATTCAAACGGTACAGAAAAATATTGAGCAAAGCTCATCTGAAATCCCCTCACCCTGAGACAACTGCCAGAGCATTTTGGTGATCACCCTTTCAGGCATTTATTTATGTGCATTCATAATTTATAATTTTACATAAATGAGATCATATCAGTGTCATTTAACAAAATCATGGGTACTATACGAGAAATCTTTTTTTCTGCTTACCCTCTCTCCTCCACCATCCCCTGCCATAGGCAACAGTAACAGCCTGTGAATATCCTTCTGTAATTTATTTTCTTCATGCTTGTATTTTAATTATGTAGAATCCCATATTTACACATACGCATGTACCTACATATATGAGGCATGTCTTTATTTCGGTAAAATGGGATCAATTTGTATACTCGTCTCTAAAAGCAACTTCTCTCACTTGACAGTGCATCATGGAAATCCCTCCAAGTCAGCTGGTATAGATCTAGCTCGTTCTTTTGAATGACTACACAATCGTCCATTATGTGGATATTACACAACTTATTATCCAACTACTTCTATACTGTTGGGCATTCATATTGTTTCCCCATTTTTCACCATAAACAGCCTGCAATAAACATCCTTAAGGGGGTTGCCCTCAAAGGCATTTGGCTTACTGTCAGTTTGGGGACAGAAGTGCTATCTATCCAGTGAAGTACAGGTTGGGGAGGGAGAACTGGGTACCAAGGAACATGGGAACAGGGGGCCCTGGGCTGCTCCCCACACTCACCTGGGCCACATCAAGCAGGAAGAGTTGCAGGTAAAAGGCTGTGGCGCTGGAGGCCACCTGGTTGGGGATCCCACCAATGCCATAGCACACCTTGGTACAGAATGAGAGCTGACCGGCTCTGCTGTCCTGAGGGGAGACATAGGAGCTAAGCCCCCCACCTGCGCCGATACACAACAGTTCCCCACATCCTCCTGAGCCTCCGTAAGCATCCTGAGGTCCCTTGAGGGCTTTTCCAGTAACCTCTCAGTCCTCATTTGTCCTAAATCATCTTAAAGGGAAGTGAGACAAAGAGGGAAAAATTAATCCTAAGCCATGACCTCTCAAAGATCCCACATCCCACGGGACAAGTTCTCCCTATTTCCCTCTTAGTGCTTCCCCCTCAGTTTGTTTTGTTCTCTGAGTCAGCAAGTCAGAGTGAACTGAATAAAGCACTGTATTTCTCGAAGCCTCCTGTGTCAAACAGAATATTCCTACCAACTTCAAGAGTTGTCTTGATGAGCAAATGAAGCTGAATGTTATTTGGTCCAGAAGCTGGCTGTTAACTGTTCAGGACTTCGGCCAGTCCTCAAACCATTGGCAGCCTGAAATCAGCTGTGGTGAATTTATACCACAGGAATCAGCAAACACTATAAATCAGAATTGCTTTATTTTTCTGGAGACACTGTTTACTAGCCCACCACTGAAATAAAGTAATGTTCATGACTCCAAATGTGTGTGTGTGTGTGTGCGCGCACACGTGTGCATGTGTGCATGTGCATGGAGATAGATATATATCTCATAAGCCCTAAGTTATCCAGCGAACTCCAGACTGGAATATTCGACTGCCTACTCACAGACCCACATGGTTGCCTAACAGGCATTTCAGCTTAGCATGGTCAAAACACAGCTCCTGATTTCCATCCACTGCCTAAACCAACTCCTAACCCTATTGTCCCTAGTGCATTAAATAGCTCCAATGTCCAATGTCCACTCAGCAGCTCGGGCCATAAACCTAGGAGTCCTTGATTTCTCTTTCCCAATTTCCCCACCAAATCTATCAGTAGTCCCCTAAGTGGCTTCCCAGCTTCTGCTCTCATTCCCCACTGTCCACTCTCTATCCAGCAGCCAAGGTGATCTTTTCATAACATAAATTTGATGGTGTCTCATCTCTGCTTAAAACTCTCCAACAGCTTGCCACTGCAGTTTGAATACGATTTCAAGTCCTTCCCATATGGCCTACAGGGGCCCACCCTATCAACCCCCACCTCACTTCGGATTGCTCTCCTCAACCTTGGTAGCTTCCTTGCTATGCCTCAAAATGACCATGCCCGTTGCTGCCTCAGGGCCTTTGTACTTCCTGTTCCTTCTGTCTAGAAGGCTCTTCCTCTGAGTCTTTGCAGAGCTGACGCCTTGCCGTTCAAGCCTGAATCATCTCCTCACAGAGGCCCTCCCTGACTACCTGACTCTCTCTCTAGTGCACCTAATACCTGATACATTCTCATTTATTTCCTGCCTCTCCCCACGAGAATGTAGACTCTCTGAGAGCATGTGCTATAATTTTTTTTCACCACCATGTCCCCAGTACCTAGAACCATGTGTGGTATACAGTAGGTGCTCAATATGTATTTGTTGAAGAAATAAATGTCATGAAGACACTAGGTAAAAGGCTGTTTCTTCAAAAGATGGTGGGAATCCTTCCTTTTGATCCTTTGCTTGGGGACGAGAGGGGGAGTGGGGAGGACTATGACTTCACCCATTTTAGTATCTTGCAGGACACCCCAGATGGGCCCTTCTAAAGGGAAGTTCTTGCCAGATAAGGGTTTATCATATCCTTTGCACACTCTTCCTAGCCCGCAGAAGAAAACCACACACGAGGCAGGATGTCATCTCCTTTTCTGACGTTTGTGTGAACATTATTTCAATTTCCAGAAATTGTTAATAAGAGGCAGAATCCAACATGATAGCGCCACCCCACCCCATGTGCCTCTTGTTTCCCCCTAAACGCGCCTAGCAAGCTTCTGGCACAGAGAAGTCACTTGAAAGATTGAGAAATTCCGGCTGGAACTACTCTCAGAGCCTTGCAGATGACAGTTTCACCTACTTAAATCATAAGCCTTTCACATTTAACCGAGCACAAGTTTTAGCGTTGGACTAACTTGGATTCAAATTCTGTCTGCCACTTCTAGCCGTGTGATGCAGGGCAAGGTACCTCACCGGGCCTGAGCTTCGGTTCCTCGCATGTAAAGCCGGGTGGAAAATACACCGCAGAGGTCGTTATGAGAATAAATGCTGGCACTTCTTTCGCAACGTCAGTTTTCCCTCTTGCCATTCATCTCCCCCTGAATTTCTAAATTTCCCTGGGAAATGAGAGTCCCCAGGGGGCGTCCCTATCTCACTTTCTTTCTTGGGGGCCACAAGCCTTTGCTCTGAGGTGTCTGACAGGAAGCACTGAGTCGACAAAGGGAATCCAGGTGCTGAAGTGATGCCACAGACAATGGATGCATTGAGCAGGGAGCAAGCGATGGGTCTTTGTTCAGCACAAAGCTCAGCAGTCCTACCCCCTCTCGCATACAGCCACCCTGGCCGGCTTGTGCCGGCCCCATCCACGCAGGGGATAAGGAAGGCCTGAGGACACCCCTGGCTTCCCACCTGCCCTCCACCCTCACTGGGGGGCCTACTTGCCAGGAAGTCATCTCTGGGGGCAGTCTGCAGGAGAAGCCCGGGGCCAGGCTGTGCGGGGCTAGCTGAGCCCACACCACGTGCCAGGAGACTGGGGAGGGGAGGCAGCCCCCCCCCCCCACCGGACACACACACCGGGAAGTCCCACCTGCCCAGGGTGCCCGAGAGCTCTGGGAAGACCTGGACTGTAGCGGGCAAGAGCTCTAATTTGGGAATCAAGAACCCAGAGACTGGCGCTGGTCCTGGCAGCCTCGCTGAACCAATGCAACAAGTTACTTCACTTGTCTAGGACTCAGTTTCCCAACCTGTTCTCTCTCGGGCTCCCGAGTATCTCGGCCTCTCGGCTCTCAACTGTCAAAGTCCACTAGGGGGGCTCGGAAGCCTGAAGGCTGGGGCCAGCGCCCCTTTCCGCCGCCTCCCTCGCGCAGCCCCCGCTCCCCCCTCGTCCTCGCCCTGAGCTCACCGAGCTGCGCTCCGAGGTGCGCGCTTCCGGCTGGGGCGGCGGCGCCTCGTCCACGGGGGCCCGGGGCGCTCCGGGGGACGCGGTCATGGCGTACGGCAGCTCCGTCCGCGGCCGCGGCCCTGCGGCGTTATCGCCCGGCCCGCGCCCCGGCTTCCGCGGGGAGGGCGGCTCCGGGGGCCGAGTGGGCGCGGCGCGGCGAGGGGCGGGCCGCGGGCAACGCGGGGGACGGCGGGGAGGCTCGAAGGGCGCTGTTCCATTTCCCCCAAGAGCCCGAACTCGCCGGGGGGGGGGGGGGGGGGTGGGGGGTAACGGCCGGTAAGTCCCTCGGGACTGCTGTCCTGGGGGCAGGTCCCCGAGGGAGGGAGAGCCGGCGCCGGTTTGCGCTGAACACCCTGCTAAATCCTCGCAGGTGAAAACCCGCCAGATCCATTTATTTGAAAAACGACGCAATAGAATTGACTTGCTTAGACTATGGCTGAAAAGGTTCACAACCTACATTTGATACAAGGTGCCTGAAACACACATTGCCCAGCCTCTCGCAGATGAGATGGGTGTAGCCACGTAACTCAGTTCAGCCTGTGAATGAAAGCAGAGCAGCGTACATGCAGTTTGCCAGAAAAGTCCTTCAAAGGGAAGGGGTCACACGGCACACAAAAAGTAACCGAAAATGCACCAAAGACCTAAGCGTAAAGGCTAAAACTAAAACACCTACTATAAAACACCTCGAAGGGGCGCCTGGGTGGCTCAGTCGTTAAGCATCTGCCTTGGTCTCAGGTCATGATCCTAGGGTCCTGGGATCAAGCCCTACATCGGGCCCTCCGCTCAGCGGGGAGTCTGTTTCTCCCTCTACCACTCCCCCTGCTTGTGTTCCCTCTCTGTCAAATAAATTTAAAAAAAAAAAATCTTTAAAAAAAGAAAACAGGAGCAAATCTTCATAACCTTGGGTTAGACAACTGTTTCTTAGGACACCAGTTGGACCATCTAAATGAACAATTTTGTGTTGCAAACCATCCAACAAGTGAAAAGATGACCCACCAAATGGGAGAAGTATCTGCAAATCTTAAAGACTGGTACTGGAATATATAAAGAACTCTTACAACTCAACAATAAAAGACAACCCAATTTAAAAATGGGCAAAGGATTTCTATAGGTATTTCTCCAAAGATAGACAGTGAGCACATGAAAAGATGCTTATGTCATTAAGGAAATACAAAATTACAAAATACCACACCACTGGATGCCTAGGATTAAAATGGCCGACAGGAACAAGCACTGGGGAGGGTGTGGAGAAATCACACCTTGCTAGCGGACATGTTAACCGGTGGAGGCACTATGGAACTCTGGCTCTTCAGAAAGTTAAACCTGTAATCACCTTATGACCCAGCAATTCTTCCTAAGTATATACCCTAGAAAAAAACATGTTCACACAAAAACTTAAACACAAATGTCCGTAGCAACATTATTTATAACCCAAAGTGAAACCCAAATGTCCATCAACTGATGGATAAATGTATATCCATACAATGGACTAGTATTGTCCAAAATAAAAAGAACATGGATGAACTTTGGAAACCTTAAAAGATGCAAAAACCATATATTGTATGACTCCATTTATATGCAATGTCCAGTATAGGTAAATCTGCAGACAGATTTTAGATTTGCGGTTGCCTAGGACTTTGGGTAGAGAATGAGTACAGGGCTGAACACAGGATGAAAATATTCTAAAGTTAGATTATGATGGTGTTTGCACAATCCTGTCTACACTAAAAGCCACCAAATTGTACACTTTAATTCGGTAAATGGTAAGGTGTGTGAATTATATCCCAATAAAGCCGTTTTTCTGTTTTTTAAAAGGAAA